ACAGTGTATTCAAATGTAACTCATTGTGGTGTAACTCGCATTATAAAAAGTGTAAATAATGTGTAAGCAAGATGTAACTTGCATGGGAAAATTCACATGTAACTCGCGCTTCAGAATATGTAACTCACGCTTCAGAAGATGTAACTCGCTTATAAAAAGATGGAACTTCAAATATTAAACAACACATATACATACATACATACATACATACATACATACATACATACATACATACATACATACATACATACATACATACATACATACATACATACATACATACATACATACATACATACATACATACATACATACATACATACATACATACATACATACATACATACATACATACATACATACATACATACATACATACATACATACATACATACATACATACATACATACATACATACATACATACATACATACATACATACATACATACATACATACATACATACATACATACATACATACATACATACATACATACATACATACATACATACATACATACATACATACATACATACATACATACATACATACATACATACATACAGTGGCGGATCCAGAAATAATATCTATTGGGGGCACAATTTCAAAGAAGTTAATTTTACGATAAAACTATAGTTGATCTAATCTGAACTCTATTAATAATGTTTTATTATATCATGTTTCAATAAAATGTTTTATTTCGTCAAATATGTAATTTTTTATTCTGTACGTTGAATTGTATAATAATCCAAATAAGTAAGGTTGGAGTTATTTTTTCGTTTATATCGGCTAAAGTTATTATAGAAGACCATTTAGTCACTTTTCATATAATTTTTTCTTTATTTTATTTGTAAACTATATTATTAATATAATTTTTTCATGATTCAAAAGATTTAGTCAATTCAGCTACTTCTATTCGAACATCATTAGTTTCAGTAGAATCAGTCGATTCGGCTACTTTCGGTGTTATCAAACGGCCAAACGGGTCTAGATTTAATGAGATTAATATTGACTTGTTTAATTAAACTTAGAAAATATAATTTTGTAAAACAAAATTAGTTGATAATATGTTGGCACCATAATTTTTATGATGATCACAATTAATGGCTAATGGAGTATATAAAAACACTAGACTAAGGATGTTTTCTTTTGGACTGTTTTCAGTCCCAGACCAGACCAGATCAGACCAGACTTAAACAGACCAGATCAGACTTAAACAGACCAGACCAAACCGGACCAGACTTGGACAGTTATAAAATACAGGCCAGAAGTTTATCGGACCAGACCAGACCAGTTCAGACCACACCAGACCAGACTTAAACAGACCAGACCAGACCAGATCAGACCAGATCAGACCAGACCAAACTAGCAAATTTCAGTTCAAAAGAAAACATCCTAAATAGCCAACCATATTCAAGGAAATTAGTTACAAAATTCGAACCCATTTTTTATTGTTTGCTATCATATTTTATATTTACGATTTTGAACACCGACTAAATCATTGATAGAGTCAAATTTTATTTGATGAATTGTTGACATTTTACTCATAATTAAAATCACATATAATTGAGTAATTCATGATATATATCAATTTACTTCCTCATAATTTATATTTAGTTCATTTAACCATTATAGTTCAAATAAATAAGTAGAACTATACGTAAATATCAACCCGATACATCTTGTATAAAAAACTTTATTATTGGGGGCAACATAAAATATTTAATGGGGGCAAAATCCAACTTTACTACAAACAAAATGTTTTTAGTATGTATATTTAGCTTGTTAGTTAATTTTTATTGGGGGCATGTGCCCCCATGGTCATACACTTGCATCCGCCTCTGCATACATACATACATACATACATACATACATACATACATACATACAGCAATTAATTCCATCGACGGACATCAATAGAATAAAGAAAATTATATTAAGTGAATTTGATTATTAAGCACTTTAGATGTTCCATCAAAGCAAAAGATATGTGTTAGTTGGAATTTGCTTTTCATTTTTGAAAAAAGTTCTAGGATTAGCTATGCCAACAAGGTGCTGCAAATTCAATCGGTGCTGCAAACTCAATCGGTCTCAGGAAAGTTGGAGAGTTTCTGCAAATTGAAGAGCTCCAGTCGGCAGTCGGTGCTGCACTGCTGCGGCGCATCACGGGTCCGTTTTTTTGACGGGTTAAACTTGTATTTAATGGATAAAACGGTACCGTATTTGGACCAGACATACCATGCGCGTGGTATTTTACCATGCAGTGCACAGGAACACATACTAGTGAGTAATTATTAAACTCAAGAGAGAGAAAATAGAGTAGAAATACATATCATACATTATACATATAGAAAATCGTTAATTTAGGAATAAAAAGCTATATATGTAATCATATTTTAGGAATCATCACACGCCCACATCTTTTGGTAATAGTGCTAGTAGTTTTCTCCCAATTCAATAATTTATAATCATATATAATGCACATTGTAGATCAAATATATTCTCATCACAAATCGCGCTGTATGTATATATGTAATATATAGCTAGCTAATTCTTTGTATATCCATCATAAAAAGGATTATAAACAACCTTATGAAAGTACAACTAATTCACCGTTTATACATCAAAAGACCCATCCACACACAACACGTACGCTGAATAGCTTAGCTTGAAATGCATCATTTTGAAGAGTTATGATATACTTTGATATGAAGAGTGAATACAATTTAACAAAATTTCATCAAACGTTTAATATTAAACTTACCAATAGGCTATAGTGACTAATATAAAACTTTGAGTAGCACCAAAGATGGTTTTTTGAGTTACGAATCAACACATATAGTACTACGGTCTACGGATGTTTGTGTGCATCCCGCGTGTTTAAGCATAAAAAGGTGAAGCTAATCACACGATACACGTACGTACTGCAATTGTACATAAAACAATAACAATTAAAGTGCATGGAAAAATTAAAGAAGCAATTAAACACCACATAAAATGCATGTCGCTACTAAGAATCAGATTACACAAAGCATTTGGTAGACAGATTTATACGTAAAAGATGTTCTTAGAAATAAAGCTACGTTTGACAAGATCGCATACATATAACGTACGAAGTATGTTCAATTCTTTTGAACTTGCGGCGGCCATTTAAAACAGCTATGCCACCAAAGACCGTGCTAGCTTGGGAGGCATTAGGATATGATAGCTAGATCTAATTATTCACATAAGGAGCTGAGCTGGTTTGGTAACACTGAAATCGGCTGAATTGGCCGATTCTGTTGAGATTTATGAAGTCCTGACTGAAGTGACTATATTGATTATTTCTGCTGATTTATGAAAAAAAAATATTTAAAATATACAGAGTATTATGTTAATAAAATAAAGGGAAAATATATGAAAAATAGCTAAAATGATCAGCTACAGTAACTTCGGCCAATACAACCAGAAAAGTAACTTCAACCTTATTTTTTCTTATTATTACACAATTCAGCGCGCATAATATAAATGTTATGTACCATAGTGCGCATAATATAAAATTTAATTTATAATACATTAATAAATAAAATATAGTCAAAGTAGAATAGGTAAATAGTACAAAAAGTCCAATGTTGCAATTAAAAGGAGGTAGTACCTTTTATATTTAGCGGGTTAATTAAAAGCCGGCTGTGTTTTATGGATCATGCATTATATTCATGTTTTCTTGTGGTTGAATTGTTCTATATCATTTAATTTTGTTCCATATTGTTTACACAGTCACAACTCAGTGACTCACACGGTCACACCAACCTTGGTTTCAAATGTATTTTTCAACTTCATTTTTAAGGGAAGTCCTAAGAAAATCAAGATGCTGCTTTTTTTTTTTTTGTTTTGGAAATTTTAAAAATTTCTTCATCAATTTATGGTCACTATGGGAATAAATTTCATATATATTATACGGAGTACGACACATACACACACATACATAGTATATACTTCCTCCGTTTCTTAAAAGTTGCAACATTAGGATTTTTGCATTATTCACACACCTTACTTTGATCACGATTTTCTATTAAAATATAAAATCAAATTATTATGTATAAAATGTTATTAAATTTTTATTGATGTGAATTTTCAAAGTCAGTAAGTTATCCTGGGCCACACCTTTTAGACTGGAATACGAAGTACAAGTTAGCTTTGTTGGGTTTGAAAGTGAAAAATGATAAGATCGAGTGATATATATACTACTCCGTGTGTAGTATGTATGTAGTTGAAGGCCTTTCAAGTAGAATTTTTTTAATGAAAGTTTTTGAGCATGTTCTTCATGAAGTGTAGTAGAACACTAGAACATCGATCTCTACGAAATTTCAGCTTACAATTTAATTAATCGAGAAGTCAGTTAAATAAATTATTGAAAACACGATGCTCTATATATACTTCCCGATTGAATATTAAGCTGAATTTTTGTGAAGATGTTCTACACTTGGTGAAAAACATGGTTAAAAATTTTAATAATTTTTTTTTACACGAACAACCCTCAAACAGGCTTGGTCAGGTGGCGGTTTCCGTCAATCTGAACTGACCAAATCATTTCTCTATAACTAAGTACGAATTGAAGCATATTTCTTTTACATATTATAAGTCTTGGTAGCTATATACTCCATTGTATAAAGTTATGTGAAGAAAAAATTGTAAATGCACTACAAAAAAACAACGTTCTAGTCACGGATTTTAGTCACAGATTTGGTCTGTGATGCAAAATCAAATGCTCTTTAAAGGAAATAGGATGCAAAGTCTAAGTTTTTTTGAAAATTGATGTGCAAAGTCCAACATCACCTAAAAATCGGGGTAAGAATGTCAAAATATACCTTTGTAAAAGTAGAAGTAAACAATTTCCAAGCTCTTTGGCGCATGATAGCCATTTGCAGTATCCAACATGTCGAATGTTTTATTTTTTGAATTCCCATAATTCGCCTTCGCTATGCAGTATAAAAACCCAGCGGCTTCGTTTAATTAATACGCTAAAAACTTACTTACCTCAACACTCATCTTAATGTCCAGTGCCTTGTTCCCTAAGTTCCTTATCATGATGAGGCCGCTGCGAATTTGGTAATTTATTAATTAAATACTCGTATCATCAATCAATTTCTTAATTAACTAAGCAGCCAATTAAGTTATTTTAATTTCCCATTGCTTTATGGTTTTCTTACATATATGCCTAAAATAGATATATGTAGTTTACAAAAATATGATTAATGCCTAAAGTATTACATAGTAACTTATTCAATTCATATCATGTAGTAACTATTAATCACGTACATTATTTTTATAAATAAGTTTGATTTTAGTATTTTTTTTAAAACTCACTAAATAATTGGTTTGGCAGATCTTAAATAAGAGTAAATAATACGGATTAATTACGTAAATTGTACAGACTAATATATTTGGAGTATTGAATTAATTAATGATGAAGGAAAGTAGAGTCATCAAGGGCACGACGGCGTTGCATGAGCAGCTGGTTGGAAGGGCCGTGGGTGAATCACAGGAGGAACGTCAAAGTCAATAAAGGGGACGTGGCGGCGGCGGCGGTGGCGGCTGAGAATGAGAAGAGCCCGGAAGAGGTAAGGCGGCGGCCTGGAGGTAGCAGCTGGACGCCTCATCCTCGTACCGGAATATACTTTCCGGCAGGACACGAAGGAATCTTGGATGACGTCCCCACAGGCGCCGCCGCTCTTACTCAGACTCACTGGTTGAGGAACGTCGATGGCGCCGTTGACCACAAACCTTAAGTCCTTGTCGGTCATGATTGATGACGACTGTCAGACCTTACACAGAATATATGCTTGAAGTACAAAAATACGCTAATTAATCAATATGCAAAGTGTGTTGTGTACTTGATTGTAAAATAGGACCCATCTTTTTGGTTAAGTAAAATCTCAGACAACACGCTAGTTAAGTTAGATGGATTTTGGTATCCGGCCATGTTTTAAAATAGGACCCATCTTTCTGTACGTCGGCTTACACGTCTGTTTACACCAAGGAGGCGTTTACTTCGCTGCTAAAGTCACAGTTAGGTTAGTAAGACAAGTGAAGTAAACACGCACGCTGCTTAAAAAGCCGCTTACTAACCGAAATAGGTGCTTAAAGTGCCGCTTACTAAGCCTACCACACCCCCATGTATTAATTAAGCGGCACTTTAAGCTTTTTCAGTTTCCGAATTTACCCCTTGCCCTTACCCTATTGTTACCCCTGACCCACCTACCTACCGACCCCACCTTGACCCCAACCCCACCTACCCCACCCTACACCTTCTATCCCGACCCCACCCTACCCTTACCCTTACCCCACCCCTACCCCCTACCTTACCTACCTCACCCCTACCCTACCTAACCGACCCCCACCCTACCCTTACCCCACCTACCTGACCCCACCTTACCCCTACCCTACCCCATCCTACCCCTACCCGACCCCACCCTACCACTACCCTACCTACCAGACCCCACCCCTACCCTACCTACCAGACCACAAACCTACCCCACCCCTTACCCACCTACCCAACCCCACCCTACCCCTACCCTATCCGACCTCACCCTACCCCTACCCTGACCCTACCCCATACCCCGCCTGAACCCCACCCTACCTACCCGAACCCACCCTACCACTACCCCACCTACCCAACCCCACCCCTACCTTACCTACCCGACCCACCCTACCACTACCTGACCGCAGTCACCCCACCATACTCTTACCCCACCTACCCCATCCCACCATATACCCCGACCCCACCCTTTACCCCCACCCTATACCTAGGGTGGTGGGGTTGGGGTGGTGGGGTCGGGGTGGGGCCAATGTGATAGAGGCGCTAGGGGCAGAGTAGGTGCGGTGGGGTCGGGGGTAGGGTTGCGGCAGAGTGGGGTCGGGTAGGGTAGGGGTAGGGTGGGATTGGGTAGGGTAGTGGTAATCGGGGTAAGGTAGGGTAGGGGTAGGGGCGGGGTTGGGGTAAGGTAGGGTAAGGTGGGGTCAGGGTGGGGTCGATGCGGTAAGGGGGTATGGGGGTAGGGGCCTATGGGGTTGGGGGTAGGGTCGCGGTAGGGTGGGATCGGGTAGGGGTAGGGTCGGGTAGGTAGGGTAGGGGTAGGGGGTAGGTGGGGTCAGAGTAAGGTAGGGTGGGTAAGGGGTTAGGGGGTATGGGTACACATTTATATTATATACTTGTGTTCATGAATGTTTGTGTGTGTATATATGTATAGGGTTATTTTGGACATTTTAATGTTAAGCGGTGTTTTAAACCGTTTGAAGTAAACACAGTCTTACAACATTGTTTATTTTATGCACCGCTTATTAACACGGGTCTTAATAAGCACCGTTTAATAACCGGTGAAGTAAACGCCTCCCAAGTGTATTTTGTTTGTTCACAGATGATTTTCATTTTAGTAAAGAGAATTTTCTGTGACCCCGAAAAAGTGAATAGTTCAAGGTTACAGCTAGTTCACTTTACTAAAATGAAAATCAATTTCTGTACACAAGTAAAATATGCTTAGAGTGTAAACAGATTATAAATCGGTTTATCAAAATATGCTTAATTAGTGAATAGTCATACCTATGTCATTGTTATTCTAGTATTTGCATTTCAGTCTTCTAACTAGCTAGCTAACTAATCACCATATGCCTTCTAAAACGGGAATGCCAATGCAATATTCTTACATACGAGTATACGACAATGGACAACCGAATGCAAAGAAGAGACCTCCATATCGATCAATGAAACAATGAACCCTTATATCACTACACTTTAGCTTCTTATACATACATGGTATACTAATATAATAAGTAATGATACAAAATATGTTGGGAGCAAAATCTCATACCCCTTCATATACTATGTATACGATTCAAGTTGTATGTACTTATTAGAAAAATGAAAACTTCAACAGATATATGATTTAAAATTAATCTAAACTTAATCATGTGATATTAAAAAATTTATGAATAAACAAAACAATAAAGTAGACAATTAATAATTATGTATATGCACTTTGCCAATTCAAATTCTAAATATCGACACATAAATATCTATTTGCATGATCTCAAATTCTACGGTCGGTTTTATACATAATTTACGGTCGATCTTTTTATCATGGTCGTTGATTTTTTTATCGGTCAATATTGACCGGGCCGACAAGGCTGACTTTGGGAATTTTGATGTCCCAGACAAAGAATGCAATCAAGCGGTACTTTAAATCAATATATATATATATATATATATATATAAAAGAGGAACTTTTCAAGAGCATACAAAGCGCCACATAATCCTGCCACGTCATTATATAAAAGATTTTATTGGATTCCTATTAAAATTAATATAGAAAAAATATATATACGTTCATAAATGTAAAATGCTTTTGATAGATTCCTTTTACGTATAAGAGATTCCTCTTATACGTATTACATTCCTATTAGCTCATTAAATTTTAAAATAATCAATATTTTTGTACCTTTTATTTATATTAGATTCTATTTTTGATTGCATATTAATATGAAAAATAAAAGACCGTAGAAATCCACCTTATTTATTTGAGATTTGAGAATATTACCCGGAATAGGAGCAAAAAAGTGAAAATTTAAAAATATGTCTGTCATGTTTTTATTCCTAAAATGGGACTTATTACTACGTACTCCGGATTATGTTTTGACAGTACCAGACTTCAAACATGACAGCATTTTTCAAACTGAGTAATAATTACTCCTATTTTGGGAATAAAAACATGATAGCCCTATTTTGGAATTTGGGAACTTTTTTAGTCCTATTTCGGAAACTTTCCCTATTTAATTTGGTAACTTTTCAAAATCTTTTACGTATTTGAGAAATATTAACTTTAGTAATTGGAACCACAACAATTAATAATCAAATTTTAAGTATTGGATCACACAGTAACAATCATGTAATTATTTTTATATACTTTTTATTTTTTACTACGTACTACTCTGTACATTCTATCGAAGAGATGAAGTATCCTTTTTTTTTGCCCACTTTATAGATAAATCAGCAAAATTGCAATTAATTTTGTCTTCAAATTTATGTGATTAAAATATCCAGTCCCATTTTCTAAAATATAATATAATATTTTTCTAAACTCAATGTTGAGATAATGATAAAAATGTGTTAATACTTTGTATTTTTCTGCATCTTCATACAATTCTTTTTTATTTATTAATATAGTGATGAAAACTATGACCATCATATTGTTGAAATTAAAAACGAAATTAATACTATTAGATTATCAAATATATATATAATCTCTTAAAAATAATACTTGTGATCAGGTAACTTACCTTATTTGATAAGGATGAAAATTAGTATCTCCCTCACACACGTGTATGTATGTATATCTATCTGTATAAATATTTTCACAAGTAAATATGTTTAGGCTATATAGCCAAAAAAGAAAATATGATTGGTTGTTTCTTTATTTTTACAACTAGAGTTTAAATATGCTTTCATTATATTCCTAATCCAAATTTGAAATCTTTATAAGTTTAAAAATTCCTAATTTTTATTTAACAGAGTGTTTTTATTAGATTGATTTAAGTTCCACACTAAATCAGATCATATCAAAGTTTAATAATTATAATAATAATAATAAGTCACATAAAATGTAAAACAGACATCTACCAAACCATATTAATTCAAACCAAATCAAACCTAGACTTTTAATTTAATTAAAGATGTTCTTATTAATGAGTAAAATGTAAGATCTCACTATTTTTGAATTTTGACTCCACTTTTTTCAAAGATACGGAGTGCATATACCAACATTTGTGTATAGTACTGATAAAATTTTATATGCACAGTGGGTGTATACATGTATTGGGGTCACATTAAAAAAACACGGGATTGGTACGTAATAAAGTAAAACTTGATTGGTACATAACTTGAGGAGTATTAGAAAAAAACTTGAGATGCATAATAAAGTAATTTAGAGGACGAGCGATTATGAATTCTTTAAAATCGGGTTCATAACAATTATATTTACTTGTTGGCCAAAAACACCAATTATATTACTTGAGATGCTTATGTAGAAGATCATATTAAATATTTTTCATATAATTTTTTTTGTTTTACAAATCGAATATTTTACAAATTTTTGTTATGATTGAGAAGATTTCACCTATTCAGCCTATTCAACCAGAATTTAATCAATTTCAACAAAATAAGCTAATTTAGTATTGTCAAACGGACTCTATATTAGAGTGAGTTTAATGTACTTTTGCATCACATTATATATGACCTTGAAAAAAATCAAATTTAAAACTAGCTAAATTATACACTTCCCGTGCATCGCACGGGCTTGAGAACTAGTTAATAATAAAATTCAAATGGTAATCAAAAACTGAAACGACATATCACTAAGCTACTATATGTACTCATTGCAAATCGTAACAAATAATAATTAACCTACGAATGTTTATTCGAAATATTTATTCTTCATTACCACCGCCTAAATTGTCATTATTGTTTTAATTTTCAACATCAATATTTTCATATTCATATTTATTCTCTGTCTCTAAATTCTTAATTATTTGAAGCCAAAGTAGAAGGTTTTGTTACATACCGAACAATAGAACCCACAAAAAAATTGTACAACTGCATTCCCTTTTCTTAGAGTTTCTCTAAGAAGCCAAAGAGTCTTGCTTACGTTTCCCGTGAAAACTACATATTAGTAAATTCCTGAATAACATTAATATTTTACGGAGTATAAGATACGGAGTAATAAATAATAAATTGTAAGCATATAATATAAAAACTCATAAGAATTATCGGTATATGAAAACATGGAAATGGAAATAATTACAACAATTAAATAAAAGTTAAATCGTACGTCCACGGTCCACCTTGGTAATTTTCGTGCCTCTTATTGGAAAAATCAGTTTGGGATATTGGGAAGCACGATTCGAAATATTAATTAGAAGAAATATGGAAGATGGGATTTTTAGG